CCTACGTACATAACCTTCTGAAAACACACAAAATACTGGAACAGATAAAATCGGATAAACGACAAATGGTCTCCACCCGCTCGCACCTAGACCAAAACGTACACAAAGTGTCTCGTCGTATCTCCTAAGCCTAAGCGAAACACATCAACCTCACTTTAATCCGTCCAGCCCCGTTGGAGCAAGTGCGTGAACTAGCCCGCAATGCAGGCGTGCGGGTGGATTTGCCTATCGTCACTAACCACGGGGCTTCAAGGCTTTCGAGCCCGTAGGTAACCCACCCCGCACTTCTTCTGCATGTGGGTCAGTGTGTATATTCGCTCCACCCTGTAAACTACTCGATATTCACAGAGCACACGAGCAAGTAGAGCTTGAAACGACTTAAAATCAGTCACGAGTAGTTGGCCCGATATCAAGAATAAAATGTCTCTCGCGGACCGAGAGGTAGCTCTGGGACGATTAGGGTGGCTGTATGGGAACGAGTTGGACGACGAGTTTTGTCCCGCTCCCAAAAAGAGTCGCGTATCCAGATCGGGCCCCGCTCGAGTACCACGCCGCTCGCGGGTCGTGCTGGGGCTGGGCGCGGACGGAGAGTCGTGTCGACACCCTCGCAATATCCACGGCAACAACGAACGACTCCGCGGCGACAACATCGCCGAAACAATAATAACGATATCAGCCGCGCCGTCGCCGCCGCACTCAAGTTCGACACTGATATCGATCATGCCAAATGTAACAGGGTCCCCCCTCGGGGGTGTCCTGCTGCTGCGGCAACCAGGTCGGGCCCGCGCGCCGTAACAGTAACACGTTACCGGTCGGCAGTAACAGCAGCACGGTAAAGAGCAGAGCGGCGGGGCGGGCTAGTGTCCCCCTCCCCGCGCGGGCGTAACTGCTCGGAGTGGGAGAGAGAGTAAGAGTGAGCTGGCTGGGCGAGTGGTGGGAGCGGGTACGGGGGCCCTGGCGGCGCGCGCGGACCAGTCAGTCAGTGGTTCTACCGCCGCCGCGGCACGCCGTACCGAGCCGTGACTTCACGTGCGTTGCGCACGCCAACAGCAGCTGCAGGCAGCTGCAGAGAGGCGGCCAGCTGCTTGCTTGCCTGCTTGCTTGGCTCCCCGCAGCTGCAGACAGCTGTTGTGTAGTGCGACTTCCTGAATCCGCCCGCCCTCGCCGCGCGCGCGCGCCTCACCTTTCGAAACGCGAACCCCGCACCGCGCGCGCCGCGCTCGCCGTCGCCGTGCTCGCCGTGAGCAGCGCGTCTGCCGCCGACACCGCCACCGCATTTTCTGACATAATCGCCTTGCTCTCTGCTGCTCCACCCTCGGGAGCCTTTAGCGTCCTTGCCTCCGTTTTCATCTTTCTCTATCTCTCTCGTCTCTTTCTGCCACCCCGTCCCTCTCTTCTCTCTATCTCTCCTGGTCTCCAACACCCCCCGCCCAGACGGGGTTGCGGTGGCGCTGTCGGCGGTGGCAGCGGCGGCCCGACGCTCGCTACCCAGTGGTGCTACAAGTTGTGATTCGTTTTTGCAGTGGACTATGCGCCCCAGGACGTGATCAGTGACCCCAGTGACCCTAGTGACCCTATCCCACCCACAACGAAGTGCCAAAAGGAAGCTAAAAGTGTGTGACAAAGTGTGCGACAAGGATACAGGATACCATTCACCCACTTCAACCGCGGCAGCACTGGACTATAGCCGTGCTCACCATCTCGGATGAAAGGGTAAGTGATTTTTGAGTGTGTTTTCTGTTGCTGTTTCTGTTTTCCTGCGCAGCAGTAACCGGGGAACGCAAGAAAGAAGAATAAAAAAGGCAGCGGCACAGATTGCCTAGTTGTGTTGGGTAAAATTTTCTCACTCGGTCCAGAACGGTTATAATTCGCCATTCCTGTTCCCACCGCGCCTCGCGCTCCGCACACCAACTGACAGCGGCAGCAGCAGCAGCGGGCGGCAGCAGACCCCTTGCTGACCACGGCTTTCGTTTTCAACCGACGACAACTTCTCTGCACCCAGAAAAAACCGTTGCTTGAGCCACGAAAACTGTGTTTTGCCTCTGTAAAAAAAAACTCCGTGCACCACAAGGTGGTTTTGTTTTTCCGTACCCAAACACAATACATCGCCCTCTTTCAATGGTAAACTTGATCTTGGGCCAGCTTTGTGTACTTGCGTATGAAAACGACTTTTCTGGTTGTGGTGAACCCCGTCACGTCTTTGGGTTGCCCCGAACGCCGTGGGGGCTCCGCGGGCCGTGGGGCTCAACGGGGTCCCCGCCCGTTCCCCACCGCCCCGCCCCGCCCCGCCCCACGCCCCACCGCGCCCCACGCCAGGCCACCCCGCCCCGCCCACCAGGCCCCGGGGGCCCCGACGGCCGCGGAGACAAGCTGTTGCTGCTGCCGTGCTTCCCCGGAGCGGCGCTTAGCGACGGGGTGACTACCTTCACTTTTATCCGGCCCCCCGATCAGATCCGGGGTCCAGAGTTCGGTCCGGTCCCCCCCCCGGTGCAGGCGCCGTTCCCTCCGCGGTCCCGAGGCGCACGGAGAGCACCGTGAGACGTCAAAATGACGTTTTAGAGCATGATGGTATCAAAAGTCTTGGCAGAAATGAATTATTAAGTATGACCTTAATGGTATGCATGAATTTCTGGCACCTTTTGCACTAACACATGAGCAAACGGAATCGGAAACGTGGTAAATCGTGTCAATGACTAAGGGCCTCAAACTTGTGAGAATCCCTCTTGCTCTCCAGTATTTCGTCTCTCTCGTTTGCTTATCAATCCATGTCGGAGCGACAGAGACAGATAACAGCGGGTTTACGGACACAGCGGGTTGGTTCGTACCTGGTCCAGTCCAGTGTCCAGTCGGGCCCGGCTCGGCTCCGCTCGACGCGACTCGGCTCTGCTCGGCTCTGCTCGGCTCGACTCGGCTCCACTTTTACTTTCAAGCCGGCATCCGATCGCGTGTCGTGTGATGAAACGTACCGGGCCTGCGGCTGGCCGGCTGCCTGGCTGGCCGCCCCGGCCGCTTGGCTGCCTGCCCCGTCTGTCCGGTTGTCCGTCTGGCTTGGGGGCCTAGCCGGGCCTAGACCGGATCGGCCGCTTGACGGACAGGCGGACAGCCAGCCGGCCGGCCGGACCGATCGACGCAGAGGCCCGGTCTAAATCTCGACCCCCGACGTGCGTTCAAGTTCCCACCAACCACCGCGCCGAGTCGAGCAGCGACCCCTCCGCGCCCTCCTCCCCGACCCGCGTTTGAATCTCCCGCCTGCCGCCGACACGATGGCTCGACTGTGAGCGGCCCCCTCTTTGTTCAGAGTAAAGTTATGCGGCGCGGCTCGGGACGGGGGCGCCCCGTGCGCCTAGGTCGAGAGGGAAAGGGTTCGGGCGGGGCGGGCGGGGCGGGGCGGGGCGAGTTGAAGACAGGGCGCTGCCCTCTATATTGACCTGCGCTTCGTGTTGGGGCCTATCTATACGGCCCAAGAAGAATTTATGGGTGACGCTCCTGCTTCTTCCCCTCCCCCTCCCCGACTTACGCCCTTTCCCCCTCCGTTAGCGTCCAAATTCATCATTAAGACGCCCGTCCTAAAGCGCTCTGCTCCACGCTCGCCTCCTCGGAGCGGGCGTGAGGCCGGTCGCGGCCCGTCACTCTTCACACTCGTCACTCGCTCACTCACTCTCCGTTTAGTTTTGAGACTCACTTTCGTTTCGGGCCGGCCTGGGGCGTCACTGAGCGTCAGCGCGCGCAGAGGAGGGGACAGCAGAGCGGTGGTCGGTACCTTTTAGTCTCTCACAAACACACACACACACACACACACACACACACACGCACGCTCGCGCACTTACTCATACACTCGCTCGCACACACATCTTGCGGGCAGGGGAGTGAAAAACGTCGCGCACTCACTTACTACTTACTTTCGAAGTGGCGGATAGGTCGGTATGCCACATTCACTCGGGCCCCGGGCCGCCTGCAGCGCCGCGCTGCTGCAAAGCGACAGCGCGCGGGCCGCCCCGCCCCACCCCGCGATGCTTATCGCGAGCGCCTGAGCGCTGAGTGCTCTTGTAACATTAATTTCGTGCGTACACCGACAAAAAACATACATACGACGGGGGAAAGGGAGAGCGTATGTGTAAAGAATAAAATGGCTGGTCATAATTAACGAATGACAGAATTGCAGGTGTTTGTGTGACTGCGTTCGTCACACGCGTTCTCGTGAGCGACTTGTGTGAGTGACGATTCGTCGCACACACTTGTTTTTTTTTGTCGGTGTGTAGGGGACACGCGGTACGACACGGCGCCGGCACGCCCCGCCCCACTTCTGCTATCTCTCTCTCCTTTTTCCGACTTGAGTTTCCCTGCGCGCCGCGCGGAGCGGCTGCCGGTGTCGTGAGGAAACTCAACAAACTGCTCTGCGTCCCCGCGCCGTCCGATTTGGAACAAAATGTTGTCGTTGTTGTGCAACAACTCCCAGCACCGGCTCCACACCACTGCCAGCGACCGCACAATGTTTCAAACGTTCCAAACGTGTTGCACTTCGGCGCCGAGCCGCGATGCAGACGCACGCACAGCGCGCGCGTGTCGACGCCGCCCACCGCGCCAAACGAAACCGCGTTGGTGTCGCGCAGTGCTCTCGTATTTTTGCAGACGGCCCTACCTTTCTCTCTCTTGCTCGCACTCACCCAAAGCAAGCCCGGTCCAGAATATATCTCTCTCTCTTTCTCTCTCCCTGGCTCCGGCATGCCCGCGTGTCGTGGCAGCCTGCTCGACCAGTCCACCGCGTCCACTGTACCGATGGAGACAACAATCATACCTTTTTAGTTCCAATAAGGTTGACTTCTTTTTGATCATTTTCCCCCATTCAACGTGACCGCTGCTCGCATGCGCTGCTGAAGTTCTTGTGCGGCGCGGACTTGCGCTACTGTACACTATTCTAATGCACGCGCGGTTGTTTCGACTGTTCCCGGGCGGCGAATAACCGGACGCGGGAAGGCCGTGACTCTTTTCTCCTGTTCGGACGTCACCGAGGTGCTCGCCGGAGCGTGCCCTCATGTCCGCGAGACAGCGTCAGCCAGCGCGGCCGCCCTGGAAGGTCGGCCTTCTCCTGCCCACTCCGCACCGCGCGCCGGCCTCTGGCCTGGCCGCCGCCGTCGTCGGTGACATCGATATCTCGAAGGTCACTGCGCACCGCTCTTCCAATCGACTTTCGATTTCGTGCCGTCCGCCGCGAAGAGCTCTCTAGTACGCGACGGACGCGGGCCCCACGCGGGGGAGGAGGGGCGAAGGTTAGTCATCGGCGTCACTCGCACGGAGGCCTCCGCTGGCCGCGGGGACGGCCACGACGAGCCAATAACGAGCCGCTGGACGTCGTGAGAGTGTGCGGCCGGCGCCTGGCTGATACGGGGACCTGGGCCGCGGGCTGGGCGCCAGAGAGAAGCTTTAGTGGGCTCTCTCTCTCTCTCTCCCTCTCTCTCTCATCCAGGCTGAGCCTGCGGGTGGTGGGGACGGTCCTCCATCCACGACAATGCCCCCGATAACGTGGCAGAGCTGAGAGATGTGTGACCGTGGCAGTGCGGTCTCCCACGCCACGGAGGGGAGAGGAGGAGGAAGGAGAGAGAGAGAGAGAGCGGAGAGGAGCAGGGCTGCTCGCAGCGGCTGTCGTCCCACCACCGGCGCCGTCCACCGTCTCCCCCGCAGGACGCCGCAGGACGTCTCCCCCCGGGTGGGTACCCCAGCAGGCCTCGCCCCGGGCCCCCGCTGTCCCCAGAGCGTCCTGGACCGAGACCAGAGCTCCACGCCGCAAGGTCGGCAATTTCCGAAACAGCATGAAGGCCCTCGCTGCAGTGGCGAGGTTCGGCTGGGCCCAGGCGCGCCCGAGTAGAGTGCACAGTACAGAGCTCTCCGCCGACGACCCTCCCATACCCGCCCTTCCTCTTCCCACGCCATTCTTCCATCGACAGCTATGTGATAATGACTCAGCAAAAAATAAAAATAAAATGAAAAAGGTTTACTTCAAAAAAAAACAAAAAAAAAACGAACGTCATTACTACTACTGATGGCCTCGTTGGCGTACGCCAAGGTCAGAGCTCATGAGCACGACCTACCGCAAGATAACAGATAACCCGTAGGTTCAATGCCATGTGCCGCGAGCAAACATGCAGCAGTTTCTTGTCGCCGGTGACTCTTTTTTCTTTTCAATCTCTATGGAACTTTGCGATCTAATCCCCGGCCACTTCCTTCTATACTGTGGAGGTAATGTGTCTCTGCCAATACGGGAAAGTGCTGCGATTCTTCCAAAAATAAAACTGCGTGGTGTATTATTTGATGAAGAGGTTCGCAGCACAGTCCCAGCAGAGGCTTCTGAGACCGGCCGGCCGTAAAAGCATTTAGCGCCCTGGGAATGTGTTGTCCGGTGAGGTCGCGGACCTCCCGTCCCAAGGCGACGACCCTACTAAGCCACGACAACCACACGCTTATTACATACATCAATTATTTTTTTCATTGTTATTATAATCATTACTTTAAACAAAA